AGAGAGGGAAATTTGTGAACACATCAGCTTTTTTTTTTATGGTTTTTTCTTACAGGCAAAATGCTCTTATTCATCTTTTGCTGACTACTTGCCTTCACATTCCCCTTATCCTCACTGGTGGAGTCTCCACTGTGCTGATTTAAAGAGCAGTTCAGGGACTCGAGCCAGTTCACACCAGTCCATGATTAGCACCAAACTTGCAAGTAAGCATTAAACACTTTGATAGTAATTTGGCAACTTTGTTTACTGAATCTAACAAAATATTGGTATTTCATATTTTATTTTTCCAGTCATAAAGTATTTATGTATTATTTTAACAAAGCAATAATCCCCATAGGTTGCGGAGCCAGAGAAAAAGAACGACTAATGCTTGACCTTTCAGTACAGTTTGAGAAGCACTGGTCTAATGGATTCTCAGTTCCTCCGAACATGTCTTTGGATTAGCTACCTTCATTACCTTGCCTGTTCTTTTTTAGCTAATACTGCCTGTCTCTCAAAACCCAACTCTAATATCCTCTCCTTCATGAGTTTTTCTCTTACTCTGATGTTCTATTTCTAAATACACAGTATTTATTGACTCTAGTGTCATTTAACAGTCTATATAAATATGTTTGCTCTTTTGAAATACTGTCTTGGAGGCCACACCTGGGAGGTACCATCAGGATTGTTAAGAGCATGGATTTTGAAGTCATAGACATTTGGGTTAGAGCCCTGAGTTCTGTAATTTTTGAACTGGGGTCAGTTAACTAGCATTTTTATGCCTCAATTTTCTCATTGGTCAAATGGGACTATTGGTAGTACTCATAAGGTAGCAGCACCTTAAGGTTTCTGTGAGGATTCCATGAAATAGTACATGTAAAGCATTAAGAGTACAGGTCCTGGCTTATACCGAGCACTCAAATGAATGACTCTTAGTGTGTTTTTCATGATTAATATTAGCAGCACATTTAGAATTTTCTATTGCCTTTTCACAGGCATTGCCTGAAATGAGTCATTTAATCACATTGTTTTGAGAAATGAATACATGAACAAAAATGACCACAGCTGCTTTGATAGACCCACTTTTTGAAGACCCAGCTAGAGTGGGTGGTGTGCAGAAGGGTGGAAAGTCATCAGGTACCCAGGGCTCTGTGGATCTCTAAGGGGCTGTGGAGAGCTGGTCAGTGCAGCAGGGGCGTCATATTCAGGTGCTGTGAGCATCACGTAAGTCACTCAGAAAATGCTTTTCCTCCAAGCAAAGCTAAGACTACCAAAGAAAAATAGAATTAAAAAAGAAACTTTCGAGAGAAAGGCCATATGTCTAAAAATATCCCACCAACAAAAAATTTGGCTGGAACACCTGGATTTTTCTGAGTATAATTTTAGTTAGGTAAACACTGAAAAGATATATTTTCCTAAAAGAGCTAAGAGTAATTTTGTGGAAAGTGATGGTTGGCAGTAATCTTCAGATTCAGCAGATCAATTTTTGCAAAAGATTTTCCTTGTTTTAAAGAGGGAGCAGATGTAAATTTGAATGAACTGCAATAATGATGCTCAACACTCACAGTTGCTTTGCTGACAAAATTTACCCTCAAATGATCTTCGTAGGATAATTATCTAAGAACATAGATGTGGACTACCATACTAATCATGCTATAGTTAAATAAAGTGATTGTTTTTGTTCACTAAGCATGTGTGTTAAAATTATATTAGAGGTTCATAGCTATCTAGAGTATGCTTTATCAGGCTTTAAAAAGTAGGTAAACTCTCTTAAAAGGAAGCAGAAATATATTCAGTCTGTAACCAAATTAAATACCAAGGAAGGGCACTGAATTTAAGAGAGTGGATTATGGTTTTGTGGTCAAATTATTTTTGGTATATTGGATGTGAATTCAAAGGAACACTATAAATGAAATACTGAGAAGAGCTAGGGAACAAGATTTAAGAGCTATTTAAGCCCTTGCTTGACAAAGGCAATCATACAAAGATGTAATTCACTATAGTTGGAGGATGAGAAAAACAAAGCATATCCAAGATTTGAATGCTATTCTATGTCTTTAGTATACACACACACACACATAGATGTACGTGAACATACCCACCAAGCACATGCACAGAGCTGAATAAAAGGAGTGGTAAACATTTCCTGGAGGAGGAGTTGAGTCAAACACACACATTTGTTTTCAATATTAAGGTCTGTTCAATTTAAGTGGCACAAATGGTCTGTCGGGGAAGTGGTGAAATCATCACAGACTGTGGAGTGATTCAAAATTAGATCAGATGAAGCACTTTAAAAATACCCTGTAGGAAACAATGTAATGTTGGGAAGGCAATGAAAAGATGACCTAAATTGTTCTTTTCCACCTCCAATTTTTAAATGCTTTTTATGGAGTTTAAAAATGGAAGAGTATAATATTTGCAGGAGTACTAAAGTTAGGGCCTAAACTCGAATGTGCTTATTAATATGAATACATATGATTTACATGGCTGTGTTGTGAGAATAGCAGAAATGCAACTATATATGTGTTAGCCCTTTCCCCACTACTCTGAAATCAACAGTGAAGGAAGAGTTCTTGCTTAGGAAGTCATTGGTAGATTTGTCCTGGAGGGTTAAGTTCTAAATGTGTATATCCAACCTAACAGATGATGCTATCATCAGAATTAAGTAGGATTAAGCTGCACCCCCCAAAGGTAGTATCATTATAACTGGACATAAACAGATAAAGATTGTGGGAAATGATCCAGAAATTCTTTGACATTATTAACTAGTGAATACTTTAAAAGGGAGATTGGATCAGAAGCAGCTTTAAGAAGAGTTATTTTTCATGTTCTCCTGGACTGCCTGATCTTAAATAATTACTGTCGGAGTCTATCTTTTTATATCATTTGGTTTTATAATCAGATTCAATCTCTTTATACCATTTGGTTGTCCTTGTTGGCAAAGGTAGTCAAGGTACTATATAAAATGAATGAAAGCGTAGAAAGGGCTCAGTAAAATTTTCTAATTGTTTCTAATGCATGCTTTTTTTTCCTTTAAACTATAGTGATTTGCTTGGAGCACTCTTGCTCACCTTGGGGAAACTCTTATCTTCATGCCAAACAAATGCACTTTAACTAGCTGTGGGAACTTCCTGTTTCCTGGGTCAGCCTTGTGAGTTTTTGGATAAACTATTGGTTAGACTATGGCCCTGGTGGATCAGCTGCCTGGAACCAGTCCCGACAGAGGCCTCCCTTATCTACATATGGTTTCTGGACCAGCAGTGAGCTCTTGGAGCTGGACTGCCTTGCGGCTCAATGACCACCCCTGCCCCACGTGACTGGTTTTACATAAACTTCATAGGAAATTTGCTCAGGCTAACTTCTCTTATAACATCTGAAAGTATGCTTCTTGCTACAAAGTCCACATGCATGCAGAAAACTGAAGACCTAGTCCTTGAAGTTTGCCGTGGTAGTGAGACAAAATTAAATGACCATTTTCCTCTGGAAGTAGTGGTGGTGGGAGGTGTCAGCCAGGCCAGCATTTGCCTGGGCACATAGCCCAGTGATTGGTGGTGGAAGATATTTCACAAACTTTTGTTGGATGAATGAATGAGTGATCATATCAAAAAGGGCTAAATTTTGGAACTCCTCTTGTTGCATCTGTTTCTTAGCAGTTGGTGTCCTAAAGTGGCCAGCCCTACAGGATACACAAAAAATCACAAGAGGAGGAGAAAGGATGAGGATTTCCTGTCCAAAGAATAAAAGTGACAGTCTGTATCTAGCCATCTTTTGAATCATGAGCATTTGTACCATCTTTAACAGGCCTTAAACTACTCAACTTGACATGTTAGAGAAAGATCATGGGACTTTGGAGACAAATGCAACTGTCTAAATCTTAACTTTGCTACTAACTAATATCTTACCCAGAGCAGATTATTTAACCCCTCTGATGCTTAGTTTTCCTTATGAAAATGGAGAAATTACCTTTAGCCTTGGAAGCCTTTTGCCTTGTTTGGAGGTAAATATGTGTGTATCTGTGTATCTCAAAATAGTAATAATAGTTTTTGTTTCTTGAGCATCTTGTAGATGCCTAGGTCAGGGCTGGAGGGTGCATAAACATTTCCATTCATTTTCCCATTAACTGTGCATGGTGAATAGTATCATTGCCACTACACAGGTAATTAAATTGAGTGTTGGTGATGTAAAGGAATCTATGCAAGGCTACAGAGCTAATGATGAATGTGCGAGCAGAGATTTGACTTTGAGTTCATCTAATACCTGAGCCCAGACTTTAATTTACTCTGATGAATAAATATCAGTCCCTTCCTTGCTCTAAAGAAATGGACATTAGACAACTCTTCCTTTTCTAATTAATATCTTTGTTTAGCCTTTTCCACATGGCAGTAGCCCTATTTCCCATAGTAAACCCCAGTCAGTCCAATATTTTGCTCATTCTGCTCACTTATTTAGAATCTGGCTGTGTGCTCCATATAGGTAGTGTTCTTAGTTCTCATTATTGGATGCCACTTCTTTTTAATAGATTTGTTCTATGTTATTTCAGTGTAGTTACAGTAATACTAAAGCGCAGAGAGATTAGGAGATGCAGGAAATTTTAGAGCCACTAAGATAACTCATGTTTTCTATAACCCCATTCGAGGAAGAAAACAAGGTACAGTCTTGTGGGTATATAAAAGTACAGCAGTTTCTGTCTTCTGTCCTGAATAGAGTTAGAGAGTCTTCTGGCTGTGCGTCTGCATGTGATGTCAGTGGGAACTTTGAATATTAAGGGTGGAGATGCCTGACTTGGATGATCTGCCTGCGGAGCTGTTAGCAGAAGCTGGAAATGCTTATAACCTTGGCTTAGTCAGCAGGATATGAACCTTGCACTTACTCTGATAGTTGCCTTTAATTAAATGAGCCTGGTCCTATTCAATTCTGGCCAGTCAGCTATTTAGAAAGCAGTTGTTTGGAAATCTTCTAACTTTCCCAAGTTTTGTTTTTACTCAGCACCTTGGATTTTTGTTTTTGTTCTCCATTTTCAGATTTATAATCGCTTGGATACAAATTGCTGTGGATTCAGACCTCGAAAGGAAGATGACTGTGTACAGAATGGACTGCAGCCAAAATGTGACGACCAAGATTCTGTGGCCCTTGCACACATTATCCAGCGAAAGCACGACCCACGGCATTTGGTCTTTATAGACAACAAGGGTTTCTTTGACAGAAGTGAAGATAACTTAAACTTCAAATTGTTAACAGGCATCAAAGAGTAAGTTTTATAATGTAGTAACATTAGATTTGCATTAAAGAAGTAGAGAGGTGTGGAGGAAAGTGACATCCTCTGTTTGATCAGTTTTAACCCTTGAAATGAATTGTGGTTGTGGAGTCTGGGGAATGGAGGCCCAGAAAAGGAAAACAAGCCCAAGTGGAACAGAATGAGAGAGAGGGCAGGGTGTCTCTGTCACCAACCAATGCAACCTACAAAGCTCCTGCTACATCTCATATCCATCATGTTGCTTGGCCTCATTGTGAAAATCCACGTGGATTAGGATGGAAACATGCAGGAATCTCTAGAATAGGAGCTGGCAGAACAGGGATAAACCAGTGGCAGAACCTCCATTATTAGGCCATGGAATGGGGGAGCTGATGGACATGTAGCTATTGACATGGCAGGATGTTCAAAGACACAGTAAACTCAAGTGACTTTTAGGAGTGTGGTGAAAAATTAGAGACAATCTGCTGATGAGAAAGAACATAGTATCACAGGACAGCAGCTATTTAATGAGGTAGGAAAATTTTTGAGCATTTGGAAATCCTTTTAGTAGACATAGATTATGAAATAAAGTACCCTGAACCTACCTCTAATTAGAAATAGAGGAAACTAAGACACGAACTAGTGGCAGAAACCCGGCTATAGTCTCCGCCGTTCAACCCACGGTGGAGATTGAGGGGAGAAAACAGACTCCACCTATAGATACTCTTCATTGTCTTCCCGCCTTAGAAATTAGAGTGACTGAGAAATTGGGGTGTATTTGAGACTTGAAAATAAAGGGGTGCATTAATAATAAACAGCTGTGTGAAGCTCAGTGACTGCTGGAGAACACGTGAGCAAATCTAAAATTGGGGAGGTAGCACGTAGGTCTTCCAAATTCAAGTCCAGTCAGTTATCTACAGGAACTTGTAATGTGCAAGGTGTTGCTATGAGTCGTGTAGATAATGCTCTGAAGCATGTTTCAGCAGTTCTTCCTAGCACTGACAATGAGATAATGTGAATTTTGTGTACTTTCAATGTTAGAGACAGTGCTTTTCCTGTGAGAGTTTCACAAGCCTCAATTTTATGAGTTTTTGTGAAGTCTTTCCCTGTTAATATCTGCTCTTCACATTTCTTTGTGGATTAAAGGTAGAATATGAGTATATGACAGATTCTCTCTTCTAGATGTCTAAACTAAGACAGTTTTATGTGTAGAAATATTTAAAAGCCATAGGCATAATTTACTGAGTTGATATTATGGGTCATCTTGAATCCCTGACCCTAAATTTTCTTTTAGAATTAAGAGTGCATGGAGAATACAATCTTTTCATTCATATACATATGAATACTGTTTTATTTATGCTTTCAAAGAAGATTGAACTTTTATTAAATGCATTATAAAGAGCAATGATTTTAAAGTTCAGTCTTTTTTGAGTGTGTATTTACACATTGAAAAGCAAAAATGAAGGCTTTGCTAACTTAGATTCATGCATAGAATATTGCTATTAATCAATGTCTTGTAAAAACAGATAATTAAAAAATTTTCCTTTATAAGAAAGATTCATCACTGAAAAGAACCATGGTTTTTAACAAATTTATGTCATACATTCTGCCATAGCTAAATTAGTTGAAGGACCATAGAATTTCTGAATCATGGATTGTTAATACTTCATAGAGCAAAAATGCTTACTTAATCATATGGTCACTAAATTACATAGTACATGTCTTTGGGGAGCTTAGAGCATCTTATCAGCATTATTTAATTCCACACGCACTCAGACTCATTAAGCGAATCTAGCTCTGTTTCCTTTGGTCTTCTGCAGCTTCTGAAGGGCAGGAGCACCTGTATCCCTTGCATTCATGTCCCCCCCACCCCCCCACCCCCGTCTCTGCCCTGAGTGAGTAATCATCCCCAACTTGCTCTGTTGACATTTGGAAAAGGTGCTTAGAAGTCCTGAAACTTCTGGTAAACAGTACTCTTCAAACAAGTGTATGTTCTTGTTTTTAAGAAACACCTAAGTTTACTTGAAAATTGTTAGTAAACCCTAACATTTTTTACTGGGCTTTCATCAGTATTTTAATGAAAGCTGGGAGAGGCCAAACTGGTGTTTCAGCAAAACATTACTTAATGATTCTGAACCAGAAATTTTATGAAGCTTTTCAGATAATGTATGAGCTAGACCCCTGGCTGTGTACTTTGAATGAAGAGCAGAAAGTACAATGCACTCTCTTAACAATTCAGCAAGGACCTTTCTGAATGGGTCTTGGATTTTCCAGAGAGATGGTCCATTGTGGAATGCCCTAGCTCTAAAACTGGAGTTTTACTACATTTATTTGAAAACAGTTTAGTGTTCCAGTATCATAAAATGCTCCCTGATCCTCAGAATTCCTAAAATATAATCTGAATCAAGGGCAATTCTCTCTTTAATTGGGTATTTTAGATCGATTCCTTTCTCTTCTTATGTATATTATGGATTATTTCACATTAAATTCAACCATGCAACTTCTACTCTGGAAGAGAACTTTGTCAAAATTGTCAGCATTTTGCTTCTCATATTTTCTTGCATAAACCCCACACATTGACACTTATGAGAATACTATTCTACATGACAGATCAACGCAGTTTCCATGGGCGAAGTGATGTTTAAGAGTAAGGAAAGTGTTTTTGCTGACTAACAGAGATCTTTTTAATTCTGTGCCTCCCTTTGTCTACATATAAAGACCTTAAGTCAAATGTTAATATGTCAAGTTCTCAATGGTATAGATAATTTAGTTCTCTTGCAACATATTCTTCTAAGATATTAAGAGAAGTGTCTGCTTGACAGTGACAAAAAAGTTTTGATTCTTAAGGTATATACTCTTTGATACTGTGATTTGTGCCTGATTAGTGGAAGGGAGAGATATTGGGTAAAGCATAATATTTCCAAACAATTATTAAGAATGAAATATCATTTTATCATTTTAGGTTTCCTGAATCTGCAGTTTCTGTTTTGAAGAGCCAGCACTTACGGCAGAAACTCCTTCAATCTCTGTTTCTTGATAAAGTTTATTGGGAGAGTCAAGGAGGTAGACAAGGAATTGAAAAGCTTATTGATGTAATAGAACAAAGAGCCCAAATCCTTCTCACCTACATCAATGCCCATGGGGCCAAAGTATTACCTATGAATGAATAACAAAAGGATCTTCTGGCCGGAGTGCTAGATATATTTATGTGTTGTTGTTTTTAAATCAAGTACACAAACCTCAACTCCTTTCGGGAATGAGACAGAGTAGATGAATACATAAAATGAATGAATTTAGCCACGTATATATGATGAACCTGAGCATGATAAGCAGCTCATAAAGCTTTAAGAAACATACTCCTCAAAAAAATATTTGTTTCTATATTTTACTACCACTGTCATGTGAGTCTCCACATCTGGTTACAGAATGATTGCAATGATTATTCCAGCTAGCTTTGGTAGAACATTTGTCATGTTGTTTAATAGAGCAGTGTAAACCAACTTTTTAAATAAATTATGTTTTATGCCATTTTCACTGGTCTGACTAAACACGAATGGGAATGAGCCTTGAAAAAAATTTTTTTTGGTTGCTAATTATTAAAACAGAGCCGTCACAGCCTTCACTCAGAGGTGACTCTCCACTGGGAGAGGTGCATGGGATCTGCAAATCCATCAGTGCCTACAGTCATTCTAAGTGGAAATGATGAGTTATTCCCAAACCTACCAGTTTATATCCTATTGTATCTATAAATAATCAGCCATTTGCATGATTCCAAGCAGTAAGAATCACATTTTCTACTTCTCTTCAGATATTTATTTTATCTTCAGTGGAGGAAACATCTAAATCTAACAGTTTATACATTAGGTAGTTTTGCCGTCTCAGTTTAGGTCTAATTTATGTCTCGTTGCTTAAAATAAAATAATATTAAGGTTTAAAGTTACCCATTTGAAACTGTACTTATAGAGCACATCTTAAAAAATGTTCTTTTTAAAGTTTTTGTCATTTTTACAAGGATGTACTATAATTTCTGTATATTTCATTAAAATGGTGGAATTCTTCAGATTTGTTCTGTGTAATTATATTTAACCTGATTTAATTGATATTGTCTAGATATAGACAATCAGATCAGATATTGACTGTGTTGAAATATATTGTTTGGCTTCTTTTAATATAAGAAGTATGAAAAAATAAATGAAAATTTGACTCTGGTCCTTTCTCCTTGAGGAAGGCACATGACTAGAACAAAAACAGTATATTTTGTTATTATTGAACCTGAAATAATTCTCCCCAAACCCCCTTTACCAAGTTTTTAATTAGGTGAAGGATGTGGACATAACAGTATTCATGTGTTGGATCTTTATATCCTTGGAAGATACTCACTCACATTATCATGTATGACAGATATTCATATGGAGATTTCAAATCTTGAGCAAATTATCATTATCTTCCCATCCCCATGTACCCAACCCCTTATTGAACAGCTGATACACTGACTTTTCCTTTCCCTGGAAGTTTAAAAATACAATTTAAGAATGTTTTAAATAATAATACTACAATTTAAGAATGATTTTAATAATAATTAGAACTTATCTGTAGATTCTAATTTATACAAAAGTATAGGGGCAAAAAGTTAAAATAACATGTTAATTACAAAACAAAATAGAACAAGAAGAAAGGAATCACTTTATCATCTAATTATTGCTCCTTTAGGCTCAGAGCCAAGTACAACTCTAGCTTCCTTCTTTGCAGGGCTAGCCTTTGGGGAGTTGGTTGGTAGACCTTCCTCCTGTTCTGTTTTCCCTCTGTAGCTTCCATTGGTCTCACACGTTCAGAGTACCCTTTGGCTCTCTTCAGTCTTCACTTTTACCTGTTGTATTTGGGCTTTTGAAGATTGCTTTTCTTCCTTTCTGATTAATTATTAGGTTGATGAAAAATTGGCCTAACAGAAGTTTGGGGACCCAGGTTCTATTTTGAGCCACTAACTTGAACCAACTCTTGGTCAAGAGTTATTGCCTTACCCCTTGTCTTTTTCAGGTGGCATATTTGAATTTTAACGGGCATTAATGAACTATACCATCTTCATTCCGATTTGTGATAGTGGTTATGGAAATTCCATGCTTCTTAAAAGTTATCTTTGATTTTGTGTCTCAAGCTACCTGGTTTTGGGCAGCTTGGTTGTCTCACATATGGGTCTGGCTTTGTTTATTTGCCTTCAGTTATTCCAAAATGCTTAATATTCAATAATGGTCCAGGGACACATGTTAGTTTCAGTCACCTTTGCTTTTGTGAACAATGTATTTGCTTTTATAATCAGTGAATAGTTCATGCTGTGTTATTTTTGAATAATAGATAGCTAAAGGCTAGGCTTTTAATTCTAATAAATAATGCTCTTCATTTATTTTACTTGAAACAATGAAAAACGTGGTGCCTTTCAAATGTACTCAGATTATGCTGTGGTTTAGTTCACACAAACACATTATGTGGTTTATTTATAACTTGATAAATTTGAAATAGAACAATTTACCTTGGCAGACATACAAAAGCTATTCTCGTGTGATTTATTTTCTTTAAGTTGATGATATAAAAATGTTATCTTAAAAATCTGTAATAAAAATATTATAAATTAAAAATGCATGTTTTTTCTTTTGTGGGCAGGTTCATTTTCTTTTGTAGATGAGTTACTTTTTAGAAGTTAAATATAGAGGAATATTTGCCACCTATATTCATTATAAAAAAAACAATTGAATAGTCTAGAATTTTATTGGATTGTGTTTGTGTAGACATATATTTGATATTATTATTAGTAACATACTTCCTCTTGGTGTAGATAAGGCATTGCTTTAGGTAGTATGCAAATTATTTAGTAGATATCGTAAGCTATATGAATAATTTCTGGCTTTCTTTCCTTTGTGTGAGTCATACAATTATGTTTCAAGTTTCCTTTATAGCATACATATTTATTAAATTTATTAAGTACCTCTGGAACTTCTAAAAATATAAAATGTCTTAGACTCTAATGATCAAAATATTTATAATCTCTGAACTTATGTAATAGCTTATTTTTCCATTGTACCCTTAAATATATGTTACGTTATACATAATGAATAAAGTATTTTAGATGCAGAGTCATCAAAACACTGTCTTATGAAATTCTAATGCTTACTTCAGCACAGAACAAAGTAAGGCAAGTTAGGGCACTGGTCTGAAAATATGTTTTGAAAATTCTACAAGGGTTAAATAAAGGTGATCAGGTCCTTTCTCCAAAAACTAAATGATATCATCAAGAATTAAGAGCTTTGATTCATGAAAGATAATTCAACTCATCAGAAAAGTTATCTGACACTTAGCCAGAAGATATCTTTTTAAAACTTTAGTTTATTTATGTTTATTGACTTTATTTGGGTGATATTGGTTCATAAATTTATAAAGGTTTCAAGAATACAATTCTACAATACATCATCTGTATATTGTATTGTGTGGTTACCACTCCAAGTTAATAGCCAGAGGAGATTTTTGAATGGTTTTCAGTGCAGTGCTGGCTTTGATTTTATATTGAATAGGCTATTTAACAATGTGTAGGGCAGAGGTTAACTTATGGATTTTTATACCAGAGAGATGCAAATAATTTCTGTCTGGTGGAAAAAGGAGCCTTAGGTTTTACAATGTATTACCCTGTTGTACATTAACCAGTTTTATATCTAGTTAAGCAATCTTATCCTAACATTGACTATAAATACTAGCTTTCGAAATACTCTTTGAAATGATTTTACCACTTTACTGGTTTTCTTGTTAATTATTTGAATAAAATCTTTGATATATATTCATTTTACATCTGCCTAGGAGTCACAGATTTACCATTTTAACAGTTTTGCTTAAATAAACTTTTGACAGCTGATTCATATAATTTTACTTTCTTGGGAGTCATGATTTTAAATTTTTGAAAATTTTATTTTAACAAAGTTCCAAAACATATTTACATAATTTAAGATCGGAATGGTACCATGGGATCTGTACCTTGTCCAACACTGTTATCTTCTGGATAATGAAACTGAGGCTTAACGAGGCAGTTACTTTGCCCAAATTTACCCAAATAATTGATTTAGAATCTTTAGTGTTGGAACCAATTAAATAAGTTAGAGAACCAAAACTTTCTCAGAGATTTTATTATCTACAAAATAAAATAAGAAATACTAGCTTAATAAACCCCAAAGGTGTTACATAGGCATATATGTTTGTATTATTAATTTTAGGGCATATTTTTGTGAACTGGAAGGGAATGGAATCAACAAGGAAGCTTCTCATATTATGAAACTTGTGATTATCACATCACACAGTTGATTGAAAATGTACAGTGTGTCATGGATTCTGTGCTGGGCAAGGTGGATGTACAAATTAATAAGTAACTTTTAATGTGTTAACCATCAATTGAGACCTATAATTAGACTTTAACTTATAGTTTTAGTGGAAAAAGTTGAGGAAAGAAATTCCTTGAGGAATAGCTAGAAAGAAATTTTTTACTTAAAGCAAAGATTTCTTACTTGCAGAGAATTTTGCTGCAGCTCTAATCTATTGTTGACTACTACTGTTTAAAATGATAATTTGGAGTCCTTTTTGTGGCTGGATAAAGACCTATTTATATGAACATGTCCCGAGGATGTCACTGTGTTCCAGTATGATGGTACCATAGTAGATGCTCATAATGAACATCCTGATTAATCAAAAATGTGCTAGCTTATGTAAATTGTGGATCAACTTCCAGAAGCTGATTGAAAGTGCAGCCTTGCTACATAATTCTGCACATAATTTCAAAGGGCTTTGGTTCCCTGGACAGCCATTCATGGAACCCTTTCCTCAGGTCTGTGATCTCCCAGGCTAAGAACTCTTGATTTACAGTATGGTTTGAATGTGGGAAATAATATTATATACTTCACAAAGACTTCACCTAATACATTTGACACTTTTTATACAAAGGTGGAAACTTGGGTTTTGGGAAAATTACTTAAATAATTTTAAAAATATTTAAACTTAATTTTAAATTATTTAAATTGTATTTAAATAAAATATTTAATGAGATACTAATGAAAATTGAGAGTGTTTAGTGAGATACCAATAAAAGTTGAGGTACATTTACTTTAGTAATAGCTTAATAATTTTAGCCCATGTCATCCATTCCAAATTCACTGTTAAATTAACTAGAGACTGAAATCCTTTGAGTTTATTTTCTCTTAATTAACTAGAGAGTGGAATTCTTTGAATTTGTTTTTATTTAATCCTTTAATTTATTAAAGATTATCAGTTACTCGATTTTGCCCTGATGTACTGAAGGTCTCAGGTGGTCATTTATTTTGTAGTGTCTTAGAGTGTGAGGAAAGTCAAGTTAATGTATGCAGTTAAATGAAGTTATTTGATTTACTACCAATGGCTTTCGGGACATGAGCATAATGCTCCTGCTTTTTATAAAACAATTTCCTACAAAAATAAATGAACTTACCCCAATGGAATTATTTCCTTGACACTTATGGAAAGAACTGTAACCCTTTCTTGCTCTTCACTTCTCACTGTTCCACTCAGAGGATTCGAGTGTCTAGACTTATTTCACCTTTTATCCCCCTGCTCATTCAGGCACAGCTGTTTCAAGTCAAAATATGGCATCTTCCCTAATTTTTAAGTTCTTTAGCCCTCCTGGGATAGGGCTCTGCTGTTAGACAGGTTTGCCTCTGACAGGTTGTTGGCAGACTGTTTTGCAACCTAAAAATGCACATGGTAAGTGAATGAAGTCACAGAAATCCTTTCTTATAACACCATTGTGTATGGTTAAATTAGCTCCTTCTTTTCATCCTAGAAAGGTATCTTTTTACCCACATGATTGCATTTAGTTTGCTGATAAAAATGTGCACGATTATGTGCACTTTAAGAAAACTATGCATCTTCTTTCTAAAAAAGTGATCTGTATTTCTTAGCAACACTTGTCCAGATTTCTAAAGCTTTTGAGACAAAGAGCTAAAATATAAAGAAAACCTCCCTTGTCAGTGGCTTTAATCACATGCTGCAGAAGAGCTAGCTGTGCCATATTTCAAAAGGCGAACTGGGGCTGCAGAGAGTGGGACCAGTCACTAAATGAGACCGAAACAGCTGTGATTTAGCACGATGTGCCAACATTTTCTTTAGCTCCAGGACATCACACATTGTTTGGCTCATAAAGTACTCTATGTTATTGGCTCAACTTCTGTTTAGGAGAACCAGAGAGCTTGTTCTGTATCCTCATTTCAGTCCCTCAGGAGTATTAAACATTGAGGTCAACATTTCTTTTTTCCACTTCACAGTACTTTTAAAAAAGAAACTGTAATTTAGGTATCCTATCTAACTTTGCAAGAATGCATTATAACATAGTGTGCAAGAGTCGGAACTTTCATAGGAGAATGATGAAATAATTCATAGCATCTCCTAGGAAACGGTCAATCATTCTCTTTTTCAATCAGGTAGCAAGTGACAGTAAAAATAAGGACTTTCCTAAGAATTTTGGTGACAATTGTGACAATGCTATTGGCTGCTGGTATCGTGTCATTTCCTTTGTCTTACTCTTGTTGGTTGCAGGTAGAGATACTATGTCATGTTTAAAGAATGGCGTGGCAGCATCCAGACTAGTGAATTCCTAACAAAAAACACAAATTCCTAACTATATCTTGACTTCCGTCCAGGCTACCGGATTCCAACAGTAATGCTCGTTCAAGTTGTGACAACTGAAAATGTCTCCAGAAATTGCAAAATATCCCTGGAGAGGCAAAATCATCTGGTTGAGGACCAGTGTTTCTCCCACGGATGGAAAGTTTACTATAAAATTTTTTTTGGCCTCTCACATTCAGGTTGTGAAGAGCTTCCCTGTCCAACTCCTTGCATGGGAATGTTTTGTTGTGTGACATCCATCAGAACCCACAGAGTTATGGTGGCTTGAGGAAAGGCGTCATTGAAACAAGCTACCTGAGACTCAGGAGAAAGAGACGTGACTGAGAAAAAAAATTAGGTAAAAAATAAATGTAGGACTTATGACAAAGAAAATATCGTGGCAAAAATTTTGAAGTGTGCATGGCGGGTGGGGCTGTAGTTGGAGGCAAAAGTGCTTGAAAATCTGTACCTTTCCTTCCCTCTGTCCCAGGGTCCAGTATCAGAATTCTTTAGAAGATGCCTGCCTGGGCTATAAAGAATCCATACTCTCATCAGGGCCCACCAGCTCTCCTCTGGCAGAGGGTCAAAAGAACTGAAGGGTGTTTCTTTAAAAGCAAAAGCGGAAGAGTACAAAAAGGGATTAGAGTGGAAAGGTTCAGCCATGATGCAGTGAGCAATCAATGGGCAGTACAGAATTAGAGTGGGAAATGGAATGGGAGGGGGCAGAGCTCAGTAAGGTAAGCTAAGAAATGCTCCTATAAAAAAATGCTATCAGCCCTGGCTGGTGTAGCTCAGTGGATTGAGCGAGGGCCTACGAACCACAGTATCAGAGTTCAATTCCCAGTCAGGGCAGGTGCCTGGGTTGCAGGCCAGTTCCCAGCAGGGGACCCATGAGAGGCAAGCATACATTGATATTCTCTCCCTCTCTCCTTTCCTTCCCCTCTAAAGATAAATAAATAAAATCTTTTAAAAATGCCATCAAATCTCAGTGGCTTAGTGTTTGTCAGAGTGGATTGGAATGCGCTTTGGGGGAGCAAATGGGGAAGATGTGGAGAAGTATTCCTAATTTAGGAAGCTCTAGAAATTAGGCATGAGATAATTAAGAAATGAGGTAGGATGGGTCTAATTCTGGAGTGTTTTTCACACGTAGTTTTGGACCATCATATATGTTACAATTCAAAGGGAATTAACTCACCACTCTGGAAAAAATGTCATTCCTGTGAGACAACTTGAAAAGATATTCTAGAAACACGTAAAACAGGCTGCTCTGGGACTTAGATACATTTTCTTCAGCTAGAGACATCACCCTCATACTCTTCTCTAAAGA